TACAGTGACTGTCACCAACTGACAGCAGCGGTTTTTTCCCGTCAGAAGAACAACGTAAGAACGAAACCTCTGGGACCAGGGTACAACAGACTGTACACCATTGAGGGAGTTAACCCAATCAGAGCACACCGAGTCGAATTCTCTCTAGACTACGAGTAGTCCCTCTTTTGCTTGGTCTGTCATGCATGACGCGAAAGAAAACCGCGAGAAAAAAATGGCTGTGTGAAATCCTGGGGGCGAGACGGGCACATGCTTCTTGCCCTTAGGAGTTTGCGAGGGCATTTTTTTCTTGCGTTTTTCTTCCATGTACACATAACGGATTAAGCGGAAGAGGGACTACTCATAGTCTACTTCTCTCCAGCTGCGCTAGCAATTTAGTTGTGATTTTTTCCTGGCCTGTTTGGCAAAGAAGACACCTACTCACAGTTTTGTATTCAACATTAGTATAATTTCAGAGCTGAACAAAGAGTTTCCAGCAATCTGATTGGTTCAGCGATCCCTTATATGATTTATATGAACATTTTTTAGGCCTGGCTTCTAAGCTTGCCACCTTTGCCATCTCGGCAAGTAAACATGGTGGACGGTTGGTGAATGAATTTTTCATCTATTCAGAAGACATCACTCTAAGTCCAGGATATTTGAAAGGATGGAGAATTTTCAGAATGACTGCTGTCGTCCTTGGACCAAAAATCCTTTCAAGAACTCCTGTTCAAGGCAGTTAAGAATCATAAACGCAGTGGTTATGTTCAAGTTGATTGCCAGCAGGTCAGATCGATTGACCGAAATCTGTTTTTCTCCAAACTAAAGCTACTCATTTTGAGGACGATGATGACAACTGTGGATGAAGTCAACAGCCGTAAAAAAAGGTACCGGATGAATTTATTTTTCGTAGTGTTTTGCTTGTTTGTTTTACTGCCAAACTCACTGAGTTAACTGATTCACCATCGATGTAAACTTACATGTAAGCTTCTTATTAAAACTATACGGCTGCATACGTGTATGCAAACGAACACTTGCGCCCCTGTTTTTATGTTTCAGTCTGTTATTCTCTGTTATTCAGTTCTGAAATTATACTAAAACAATTATTCGCCTCAGGCTCAATATTCACCACGCCTTCAGCGAATAATTGTTAATTAACAAACTGACGTCAGTTTTTTATGTGTATGTCCTCTTACTGATGATAAATTGCGGCATAACATTGTCAAAGTGGCTGTGGAACCACGAGCCGCAGGCGAGTGGTTCCACAGTAAACTTTGACAATGTTATGACGAAATTTATCATCAATAAGAGGACAGCCTCATAAAAAACTGATGTCCATTTGTTCTTTACAATAACAAGACCCCAGACTGGTCAAATGCCCGGAATAAATGAGGGGAAAAGACGCGTAAACTTGCCATAAACAATGATAAGTGAATTTTATTCAAAATGACACGAACATTGTCGGTAGCTTTTCTCTCTTTTTGATTGGCTACTTAAGAAAGTCCATAAAATCTCATTGGTTAAAAAGTTGACAGTTTGACAGCTAAGATTTGAACTTGAAAGCTTGCATAAATTAAAATTTTATCCGTCTGTACTCTCATTGACGATAAAAATGATCCAATCAGCGCGCAAGAAATTAGACAGTTATTGTAAAATTATAATTGGTTCAGCGAGGCACTTTGGTTTAACGTCAGTCTGTATTGTTTGAAACAATCACCTGTCCTTGAAACGTTTGTTTCACTGTCTCGATTCTCTTAGTGTTTAAGATATTGTCTTGCACTAAGACCTGTACGATTTCCTGAATCTTAAATCATTCTAAATACTCCCCACGTCACAAATGTGGCAAACTTTCCCTGACGTACCTGTGTGCGGAAGTATCTGAATCACGACCAAATAAAAGAAACTTAACGACAGAAAGTTTTCCATCGTCATGTTAACCCATTGTTAACTCCCAGTATGCCTCAAATGCTGCTAACACAGTCACTTAAAGAGTCGTATTTGCCGCCGCCAACACACAGATTCACCCAAGCGTCGCCGCCATATTAAATTTCTTTTGTAATAATTAATAAGTGAGATGTCATAGCGGAGCTTCAGCGCGCGAAGCGCGGCAGCAAAGCAGCATGAGTGAGCAGGGGATTTTACTAAAACTGGTAACGGGGAACGGGGAACGGGGAACGGGGAACGGGGAACGGGGAACGGGGAACGGGGAACGGGGAACGGGGAACGGGGAACGGGGAACGGGGAACGGGAAATGGGAAACGGGAAACGGGAAACGGGAAATGGGAAACGAAAAACGAGGATCGGGAAAGCGGGAACGGGACTCTGGGAACGAGTGTACAGCGGTAACCCGCCTGAGAATTCAGAATGGCGGACAAAGGAAACTAAAAGGGAGCAACTTGGAGAAATATGAGGAGGTGTTACGGTTGTAAACGTGAGTATCTACCGGCTTCGTCCCCAAATGACCACTACGTTCTTGTTATCTCTGCTAGGTTGATTCGTGAGTGTGCTGATATTATCTCAGGCCCGTTATGCGATCTGTTTAATAAATCTCTGATGTCTGGCATGTTTCCTGACGACTGGAAATGTGCCAGGGTGACTCCGTTGTTTAAACAGGGCGAGTCATTTGATCTAAACAACTACCAACCTATCTCAATGATTTCCGTGGTCGCCAAAGTGTTCGAGAGGATTGTGTACGGTCAGTTATACAACTTTTTAAATAGTGAAGAAATCATCTCTAAACAACAATCTGGTTTCAGGTCTTTACACTCAACTGTTACTGCTCTTCTTGAAGCCACTGACAGCTGNGGAAAACTCTTGATTGGTTCAAATCGTATTTGACGAATCGCACACAACGGTGCTCAGTTAACGGTTATCTCTCTGACTTCACCACTCTTAAATGTGGTTTGCCACAGGGAACGATCCTTGGCCCTCTTTTATTTCTAATTTATATTAATGATTTGCCCAACTGTTTATCGTTCAGCGTACCTAGAATGTATGCTGATGACACCCACATTACTTATGCAGGTTCTGATTTAGATTTGATCCAGTCTAATCTATCTCACGACCTTGAAAAGCTAAGCAAATGGCTAGTGTATAACAAACTTTCCTTGAACGCTACAAAACCTGAATTTACGCTAATCGGCCCCAGGCATAGGCCCGATTTCCGCCGCTCTCTGAGCGCGGGCTCATTTCCCGAAACAGCGGCTGGTAATCGAGCCTACTCCAGGCAAAGATTAAGTACTCTACCTGGGATGTTACTAAAACTGGGAACGGGGAACGGGGAACGGAGAACGGGGAACGGGGAACGAGGAACGAGGAACGGAGAACGAGGAACGAGGAACGGGGAACGGGGAACCGGGAACGGGAGTCTGGGAACGAGTGTGCAGCGGTAACTTGCCTAAGAATTCAATATGGCGGACAAAGGAAAAGAAAAGGGAACAATTTGGGGAAACGTGATGAAGTGTTACGGTTGTAAACTTGAGTTTCTACCGGCTGTGCCCCCAGATCATGTGCTCAGTACGTTCTTGTTAAAGCAGAGTCCGATTGGTACGAGGATAAACAAAGTATGAAATGGCGCCTGGGGTGAAAATCGAATCGGTATTATCACAAACTACGTACCCAATTGGTCAGGCCACAGTCGTTCTTATATAGAATTTCAAACCTTCATAGTCTACCCATATCTTCTCACTTTGTGCGCGCCAAAACAGGACAACAGACG